ATGGCTGCCAATCTTACTGGAGTGAGATGGTATCTTAGGGTRGTTTTGATTTGCATTTCTCTGACTGCTAGCGATGGTGAGCATTTTTTCATGTACTTATTGACTGATTGTAAGAATCGTGTATCCGGCGAAATTGAACTAGTGAACTAATTCTGATGACAGCAAGGTGCTACCTGTCTGAATGTTGCAGAGTTTGATATGATTAAAGAGTTTTATCTATGTGTTTGGACTTTATTGACATCTCACTTCTTTCTTGTTCCACCTGTCTATGTTTGTGCAGAGCTTACAGTATTATCTAATAAAAATAGTTTGCAAATGGAACTATCTATTGATTTTCTTCAACCTGCAATCTGGCATTAGGATTGGAAATCTCAATACCCTATTGGGCTGCTCTTCCCAGATAACTCTGTGGTTCTTGGAGAAAACACTGTATTAATCCCTCTCATTAATATACATCCTCTAGAGCCTGCAATACAGTACTGGACAACTACTTGAGCAGATCAGTTTTGAAAAATATCCTAGAATTCTCTAGCATTGAATATGTCTATAGAATTTCAGTAATAAGAATAAGCAAAATGAATAAGCTTTGAAGACTTACTGCTGATTCCTCCCATTCAATTTATACTTCTGCCTCTTTGTCTTTGATAACAGATTCTAGGTACTGATTTATTCCTCTCAAAAGAGGTATAATCCCCAATTAGTTCCCTTTGTGATCTGAATAGGTATTAGTAAGAAATATGATTAAAACATATATAATTCTCAGATAATAATTCAATTTTCAAAAATAATTTTTTAAAAGGGTAAAATTTGTTTCAAAAGCAAGTATTCTGAACTGATGGATATGGCACATGCCTATAATTCTAGCTCCTTGGGAGGCTAAGGTGGATGGAGCACAAGTTCAAGACCAGTCTTGGCAAAGACCCTGTTTCAAAATAAAACAACAAAAAGGGCTGGGGATTTATTTCAGTAGTAAAGCAACTCTGGGCTATTACTCCCAATACTATACCCACTAAAAGAATGTATTCTTTTAATGTTTTACTGTTAGTGTCAGTTTCATGACCAACTACTTAAATTACCAGAGAATAACTTCTTTGTTTACCACATGTACAAAAAGGAGAAAGAACACCTTACTTGTGCCAACAACAGGGACTGGTTAATAAATGATGGTTATGTTTATCAATGGACTAATATGCAAGTAGTAGGATGGATGGGATATCTCCGTATATGGCTGCATACTCTCTCTATATTTGAATTTTACTTTTTTTAATCAACATTTTTTATTGATTTTTAAAAAAATAAATGACAGCAGAATGCATTATTTCATCATAAATATTTTTCCAATTCCTGTTGTATACTTCAATGTCAAATCTATAGAGCCATTCTTACTATATTCTTTTCATTATCTATTCCTAAAGCCACTGTTTTCCTGAAATCCACAAATTACTCCTAATAATCCTTTCATCCAACAATCTAACCTCAATTTTCCATCTCACAAGAGTTTGAGTTTTCAGCTGCCTAGAAATAAATTAGGGATTAGTAAAATGTTTTATTTTAGCTTGATACATACCATTGGATTCATCAGAAAGTCTGTCCAGCCCCAAGATTCCCTTTTAATAAAGTAAGAAGGTGGACCTGAAGATTTCATTTGGAGAGGATAGGGCAGTCTGACTACTTCTGATGTTTTGATATAATTCACATATCTTGCTCTGATAAAGAAACATGAGAAAAGCAGCGGTAATTCTATGAAAACCATGGTTAATTAAAAGATCTGCTTACAATATGTTAGCAATAACTCTTCCAAAACATCCTGGCATCTAAACTTTTGATCCTGAAAATCTGATCAATTTTTATATGCATATCTAAAATATTGGGTAAAGCTTGGAGAAAGAACACTATGCTTGGAATCTTTTAATTGCAACTGTCACTACCTATGTGGTTAGGCAAGTTCCTTAACTTTTGTTTATATCAAAAGTTCCTTTAGAATCCTTCTAGTTCTAAAGCCCTTTGTAGTGAATTTATATGATTATAAACAAAAAAATTACTGAATGTTATTTATTTTATTTCTTGATGATCTAAGATGTATATTATTGATACACCCAAATTTTAAAGCTACTCTGTAACAAAAACTTGATTCAAGAGAGTCCTACTGGGGCTGAGGTTGTAGCTCAGTGGTAGAGTGCCTGTCCAGCACATGTGAGGCACTGGGTTTGATCTCCAGCACCACATAAAAATAAATAAATWAATWAATTAATTAAAGGCATTGTGTCTACCTATAACTAAAAAAACTATCAAATTATTTTTAAATTTATTTATTCTCATTTGTTATACATAACAGCAGAATACATTTCAATTCATAGTATACAAATAAAGCACAATTATTATTATTATTATTATTATTATTATTATTTTTTAGAGAGAGTGAGAGAGGAGAGAGAGAGAGAGAGAGAGAGAGAGAGAGAGAGAGAGAGAATTTTAGTTCTCGGCGGACACAACATCTTTGTTTGTATGTGGTGCTGAGGATCGAACCCGGGCCGCACGCATGCCAGGCGAGCGCACTACCGCTTGAGCCACATCCCCAGCCCCAAAGCACAATTATTATGTCTCTGGTTGTACACAAAGTAGAGTCACACCATTTGTGTCTTCATACATGTACTCAAGAGTATTGATGTCCATCTCATGCCACATCTTTCCTACTACCCCCATGCCCATTCTCTTCACCTCCCTCCCCCTTGCCCTATCTAAAGTTCCTCAGTTCCTCCCATGCTCCCCACCCGGGCCCCTATTATGGGTCAGCATCTACATAACAAAAGAAAACATTAAGCCTTTGGTTTTTGGGGATTGGCTTACTTCACTTAGCATAATTTCTCCAACTCCATCAATTTACCTGTAAATGCTATAATTTTATTCTCTTTTAATGCTGAGTAATATACCACAGTTTCTTTATCCATTCATCTATTGAAAGGCATCTAGGTTGTTTCCACAATTCCCCAATATTGTGAATTGTGCTGCTATAAACATTGATGTGGCTGGGTCACCGTAGTATGCTAGGTCCTTTGGGAATAAACCAAGGAGTGGTATGGCTGGGTCAAATGATGGTTCCATTCCAAGTTTTCCAAGGAATCTCCATACTGCTTTCCAGATTGGTTGCACCAATTTGCAGTACCACCAGCAATGTATGAGTGTGCCTTTTCACCCACATTCTCACTAACACTTATTGTTGTTGGTATTCTTAATAGTTGCCATTGACTGAAGTGAGATGAAATCTTTTTTTTAAAAATATTTATTTTTAGTTGTACACAATACCTTTATTTTATTTATTTATTTTTATGTGGTGCTGAGGATCGAACCCAGGGTCTGGCACGTGCTAGGCGAGCACTCTACCGCTGAGCCATAATCGCAGCCTGAGATAAAATCCTAAGRGTAGTTTTGATTTGCATGTCTCTAATTGCTAGAGATTTTGAACATTTTTTCATGTTTGTTGATTGATTGTATATCATCTTCTGAGAAGTGTCTGTTCATTTCCTTGGCCCAATTTATTAATTGGGTTATTTGTTATTTGTTACGTTTTTTGAGTTCTTTATATATCCTAGAGATTAGTGCTGTATCTGATGTGGTAAAATTTGCTCTCATTTTGTAGACTCTCTTTTCACCTCACTGAATGTTTCTTTTACTGAGAAGAAGCTTTTCAGTGAATCCATCCCATTAATTGATTCTTGGTTTTATTTAAATTATTTAAAAATAAAAAAGAAAGCCCTAAAACAAGGTGGGTGTGGCAGTGCATGCCTGTAATTCCAGTGACTCAGGAGTCTGAGGCAGGAGAATTTCAAGTTCAAGACCAGTCTCAGTAAATTAGTGAGACCTTGTCTCAAAATAAAAAATAAAAAGGGCTGGGGATGTGGCTCAGTGGTAAAGTGACCCTGGATTCAATTCCCAATACCAAAAAAAGAAAGAAAGCAAGAAAGCCCTACAAGAATGCTTTGGTAAACATCTCATTTTCAACTAAGACGCACTAAGGAGATCAAAACCCAGGTGTCACTAAATTGCTGAGGCTGGCTTTGAACTTGTGATGCTTCTGACTCAGCCTCCTGAGCTGCTGGGATTACAGGTATGCACCACTGTGCCTGGCCAGGTATATAATTTCTTACAGCAGTAAATCTTTATTTCTTTAAGCACTTCCACTACACATTAAATTATTTTATAGTATATATTCAATAATTCTACCATCTTAAATTTGGAGGCAAGATTCATTTGCTGATTTAATGTAGACCATTTTCCTGGGTACTCTGTAAGGTGAGTAGAATTTATCCACTTAAGTAAATAGATATTAGGACATCTCCCTCCAGAGAGATTACACATTTGTCTGTGCTAGTAGTCCAGGGATTATAAGCAGGGACCATTTTGTTAGCTTCTCATCTTAGAAGTGCTTAGATTTTGCAAGAAGTAATAAATTCATACCTTGAATTTTAATGAGAGTAGAATTGCTACTATCAGATTTCACGGGAGACTTTTATCCAAATAGCAAAATCAGATTGGGAATCTGTCCTTTGGGTTTTAATATAAAGGTTAAAAGGGAAACCAAAACTTAGATCTAATTCTGACCCCAGGCAAACCCAAGACTTGCCTCCTACTTACACACTGCTAATAAAATCTAAGCTTTTTAGCTAGAGAACATCATCAAAAACCTCAAATGGGGAAGTGGTTTATAGTTTATCCCCTAGGGATTTTCCTTCCTTTGGGGGAAGCTATGCATTTAAAAGGAAAAATTTGCTTGGTACAGTGGCACATGCCTATCTATACTCCTAGGAATTCAGAAGGCTGAGGCAGAAGGACTGCAAATTTCAGGCAAGCCTAGGCAATTTAGCAAGAGCCTATCTCAAAATTTAAAATTTTAAAAAGGGCCAGGAGTATAGGAAGTGCTTGTCATATTTTGTCCAGTATTTCTAAGATTTTTTTCATTCAGCTAAAATGTCATAAAAGGAAGTTTCATATATATTTGATGCTAATTTACTGTGCATGTATAAAACACTGATCAAAATATTATGCCCTTATATGAATATGAATCCTACTTTGTTCACTACTCTGTCCCACCCCTAATTATTAAAATGATAAGGGCCTCATTTTTTCCCCCCTGAAGTCTCAGATTGAAAATCTGAGATCATGCACAGTCATACCTTGCCTGCCACTCATCAAGCTCCTGAGTAACATATTCTGTTGGATACTAGTCAGCTGTGAATCTTTCACTCTCCAAAACACACATTGACAAAATCCCTGATTGTCAGCTGCTCTACCATCCCACACACAACTTAATGTGCTGGGGGGAAGGAGCCTCATTTTTTATTATTATTATTTTTTTAAATTTATGCTTCAGGAATCCAGTGCTCAGAAATGTATCTGAGATTATGAATCCTGCAACCAGTTCTTAAATGTTCAAAAAGTAGTTCTTAAATGCTCTTTATCCATTGTTAAAAGGAAAATAAGCATTGGTCCCCAGTTCAATCACTAACACTGCAAAAAAAAATTAATTAAAACTTTATGTTTAGAACAATATTTTTCCTATTTACTAGAACTATTTCATTCATAAATTTAAAGAGAGCAAAAGGACAAATAAAAACAACATGTTACAGTTCTTAGTAAGCAAGAATCTCCCCTTATTTAACAATTTTCATTACTTCCAATATTGTGTTTTTGATATTAAAAAATTTAAATAAGCATACATAATGTATACTGCAATCTACATACTTCTTATCTCTAACTGTGCCATTTTAAAATATATAAAAAAGTCATATGTCCCTTAAGATTGAGATTTCAGCCAGGCACAGTGTCCCATGCCTGTAATTCCAGTGTCTAGGGAGGCTTAAGCAGGAGGATTGCAAATTCAAGGCCAGCCTCAGCAATTTAGTGAGAGCCTATCTCAAAATAAAAAATAAAAAAGGCTGGGGATGTAGCTCAGTGGTAAAGTGCCCCTGGGCTTAATCTCCACTACCAAAAATAAAAAATAAATGAGATTGAACATAATAGAACTTTACCTACATATATATTTAAAAATCCTTATGTTTCTAAAATGATATATGAGAAAGTCAATACCCAAGGAGTTTAACATACTTTGAAATAATCCATGTATTCTATCAAAAAAATATTTATAGCCAGACGCAGTAGTGCACGGCCTGTAATCCCAGCAACTCAGGAGGCTAAGACAGGAGGATCATGAGTTCAAAGCCATCCTCAGTAATTTAGCAAGACCCTATCTCAAAATAAAATATAAAAAGGACTGGGGATGTGGCTCAGTGGTTAAGTGCCCCTGAGTTAAATCCTTGGTACCAAGAAAAAGAAAAAGAAAAATTTATATTTATAAGGTATTACCTTCCACTGAAGCTTTGCCGCTGCTCTAAATAGCCAAAAACAAGAACTATGATCAGAACTTAAGCAAAGTAGAATATCTTTAGCTAAAACCTTAACTTCAAAAATAGGAGGAAAGGGCTGGGGATGTGGCTCAAGTGGTAACGTGCTCGCCTGGCATGTGTGAGGTGCTGGGTTCAATCCTCAGCATCACATAAAAAGTAAAATAAAATAAAGATGTTGTGTCCATCAAAAACTGAAAAATAAATATTAAAAAAATTCTCTCTCTCTTTAAAAAAAATAGGAGGAAAAAGTAATTTGTTTCTAAAAAATGTATTTATTAGTAGCCCCATAGGATTGGCTTTAATGATAATATTAAGAATTTATTTTAGGGGCTGGGAATGTGGCTCAGGCGGTAGCGCGCTCATCTGGCTTGCGTGTGGCCCGGGTTCGATCCTCAGCACCACATACCAACAAAGATGTTGTGTCCGCCGATAACTAAAAATTAAATATTAAAATTCTCTCTCTCTCTCTCTCTCCCTCTCCTCTCTCACTCTCTCTTTAAAAAAAAAANAAAAAAAAAAATTCTCTCTCTCTCTCTCTCTCTCTCTCTCTCGCTCTCTCCTAAAAAAAATACTCAGCACCATGTAAAAATAAAAAATAAATAAATAAAGGTATCATTAAAAAAAAAAAGAATTTATTTTATTTATAATTATCTGTTTACTATATATACTAGAGAAATAGAGGAAAAAAACATTACTTATCCCTCAAGAGGAGCTGATTATAAAAATTATGGCAAATCCATCAACAAATACACAGGTAATATAAAGGAATGAAGCAGTTCCATATATGACTCATTCTATTTTAATTATTGCAAATTTACATATTACATCTTAAAATCTGGCAATATCAAATAAAAAAACAAAGAAAGAAGACAGAATTTTAGAAGTAAACATGACTCAAACATAATATGGCACTTAATGAACATATTTCTAGTGTGTCAGCTCAATTTTCAATCTCTACAAATTAGGCTAAAATATGCTTGGCATTCAAAAAAGTGCTGAGCAATAAACTGTAGTTTATAGCTGTAAACCCCAAAATGGTTTTTGCCTTTTGCCTGTGGCAACATCGAGTAATGTTGTGATAGCGCAAACAAACAAGAGACATTTTCACTTAAAACTGCTTCATCTACTGACTGGTTAGATTAGACCAAAAAGGATGTTATTGCCATGAGACAGTAAAAAAAAATTAAAAATGAATAAAATAAGTGTTTTATTATGAAAGGAAAATCTGAAGATTGTGAACAACCTCACAACTGTCCTAACTTCAAATGGGTTTTGCTATCCATACCCACAGCCTCAAGTAGAGCAAAGGTTTTTTTAAATTTCAACTCAATTTCAAGCACATATTCATTTACTCAGAATTCTGAAATTCTTTCCTATTCTGCCAGCCTCAAACATTGTGCTTTCATCTTTTATTTTTATCATGATCCTCACTTTGAGAAAAACTCCACAATGTAATCTATTTTTTTCACTACAAGTACTAAATTTCCATGTGCACTAAATATTCCAGAAAAGTGGAGATGTAGAAATTCAAGATCAAGGGGCTGGGGATGTGGATCAAGCGGTAGCACGCTCGCCTGGCGTTCGTGCGGCCCGGGTTCGATCCTCAGCACCACATATAAAACAAAGACGTTGTATCCGCCGATAACTAAAAAATAAATATTAAAACTCTCTCTACTCTCTCACTCTCTCTTAAAAAAAAAAAAAAGAAATTCAAGATCAAGTGTTTCTAAAATATTCCAGTGAAAAATAGTTGAAAGAAGTATTTCTAATTTAGAAAACTTAAATTAGAAATAAAAAAGTTAAATCCAACTTTCAAAACCCCATTTCAATAACTAACACAGTGCTTTTGCTCTTATAGTAAGTAATGCTAACTTTTCTCTATATAATCATATTAGAGCTTTAAAATAAACTTCAAGCCAAAGAAGGAAGAATTTCAACTTCATGATTTTATCAATGTTCAGATGAAAACACTTTAAGTGTTTTAAGGAATTAGTGTAGCTTCAATAGGAAACTTTTCACCCTTATATTCTGAAATGAATATACAATGAGGTATACAATAGCCTAAACTTTGGTAAAAATTAAATCAGGTGCCCTCACCTCATTTTTCCTTTTGAAGTGATATCAACTCGGACAGGGTCAAATTTATAAGCTGGAGAAATAACTTCCACTACATAAGATCCAGAAGGTATATCATGAACCACAAAACTCCCATCTGTCCTGAAAAAAAATAAAAATTATATTTAGTCACTTTGGCTTAGTTTTTTGTTATGTTTTAAATCATGTTAATTCTAAAAACAATGCCCCCAAAATGACATTAAACAAAAAGCTGAAAATAAAAGAGTGGCAAGAATTGTCCCCCACTTCATCTTCCATAATTAACACTGAACAGGTTCTGAAAATACCTGAAACCACTCCAAAAGAGCAGAGAACACTGACATAGAAAATACTTTCTTTCTGTGGATAAAGTTAACCAGAGCACAGTTCTAAATACAAGTATACATTACATTATTATTACATAAGGGTCCCAATTTTTCCAATCCCCCAACAAACTCTTAGTGTTAAGAACAACATTCTGTTTCAGTTTTAACTTGTATTTTCTGGATTTTCTCTTTTTTTTAATAAATGATAAAAAATACTTAAGAATTATGTGTTTCACTTATTACAGACAGTCCCATTTACTTTAGTTCTTTTTTGGGTATGCATATATTTAAAATGTTTATGTAGTTAAAACATCTCATCTTTTCCTTACTTTTACAAACTTACTAGATTTATAAAACCATTCTATCAAGAGCTAAGTCAAAATTAATCTGTTTGGAAAACAAAAAACTACTCCAAGGAAAAAAGAAGTTTCTGTTTTAGGAAAACAAGTGGTTCAAAAAGGATCAGCTGTTATCAGGAAATCCCCAGTATCATAATAATATATTAAAATAATGCCTCATTTTTAAAATACTTAGGCTTTTTCATAGTCAAAGCAATAACTGATCGTGATCACATTCATGTATTCACTAAAAAGATGAAAAAGTGTTCCTTGTTACCTCAAAGTACACACTAAACCAAAACAGAATAAACATAAAAACATCAAGTTAGTTTATTCTTGAGATGGACATCTTCCATTTGCCCTCCGATCCATCTCTACCTAGTATAGATCCCCCACAGCTTTCTCATTGAGAGTTCACCTGACTGGCTCTATTCAGGAACACAGCTCCTCCAAATCAGCCCTTTCTTCAAGTTTACAGTAACCTGTATTCCCACTCCTCCTTCAGGCTTAGAGGTGGTAATAGTCTTGAGGTTGTAAGTTCTAGAGTACTGCACCACCTGGTTGTTTTCCCTATAACACGACTACACTATTTAATGCTTATTAAACCCTCTAAATTATTAATTTTTTTCTGAGTTAATCTAAATCTCAGTGTGTCTTCTGTTTCTTGTTTTGGTTTTTGGTACAGGGGATTGAACCCAGGTTCACTGAGCCACATCCCCATCTTGTTTTGTATTTTGAGACAAGATCTCACTAAATTGCTTAGGACCTTGCTAAATTACAGGGGCTGGCTTTGACTTGCAATTCTCCTGCCTCAGCCTCCCAAACTGCTGGGATTACAGGTGTATGCCATGGCGCCCAACTTATCTCCTTTTTATTGATGGGACCCTGACTGAACCAATTTCAAACCATCTTTCTGGGTTAAAAAAAAAAAAAAAACTCAACAACTGATGACTGCATGAAACAAATATTATCAGAAGTAATTTCCTAAAGAAAAAGCAAATATGTATTTTATCTAAGATAAATATTTTTAATAAAAAACTTAAAATTTGGCTTTAAAAATGTACTTTGTAATGTACAGGCTTTGTTGGATCCTGATTTAAAAGAATTCCATAAAAGCATTTCTGAGATAACCAGGGAAACACAGAAATGAACTGGGCATTAGATAATACCAAGGCATTATTATTTATTTTTTTAATTGATAATGGTTTTTGTTTAAGTCCTTACCTTTTAGAAAAACATAATAATGCATTTACAAATAAAATTATATTATGCTTAGAACCATACAAAAATACTCAAGAATGAGATATAGGTGGCTGGGGTGTGGCTCAGCAGTAAAGCACTTGCCTCCCACGTGTGAGGTACTGGGTTCAATCCTCAGCACAACATAAAAGTAAATAAACAAAATAAAGATGCTGCACCATGTACAACTAAAAAATATTTTTTAAAAAAATGAGATACAGAGAACATATGAAATAAAACAGTAGACTGTGATGAGTATCCAAGAATTCACAAGGCTATTTTGTTTATTTTGTAAATGTCTGAAAATTTCTATAATAAAAAGTGTAGTACATAATCTTAATATATTAAAACTAACACCTGAAAATTGCCTAAATGTCCCAAATCAGAGAACTTGTTAAATAAATTATGGCTTATCTACTTACTGATGATAGTTTAAGAAATGGTCTGAGTAATCTTAAGCTCCAACTTTCCGTATCACCGTTAGCTAAGTCCTAAACCACTTCCAAAAAAAAAAAAAAAACCAAACACAGAAGCCAAAATTGTGTGCTAGTTTTTCACAACAGTCACAAGACAAATTACCTACCCTTTTACAACAAGATTTTCACCATAAATTCTTCCTATTAATTCTCAATCATCCTTTCTACGTGCAAATGTTTAAAAAATGAAATAGTTTCAAAAACTTCACAAATATTAAGTGAAAAGGGCAAGTTATAAAGCCTTATGTTTTATCATTGTAAATAACTCATATGATTCTAAAAAAAAAATGAGAAAAGATACAATATTAAGAGTTGTTATCTGTTTGAAACTTTCGAGCAGAAACTTTCTTGTTTACATTTTTTCAACAAACATTTTATTAATATTATTTAAAAAATAAAAATAAATGCTTTTCAAAAGAAGTGTGTGCTGCAGAAGAGACGTCAAATTGTCAATTAAGGCTAATTTCCCAAAGCGTAACCATTAAACCATCATAAATTGTGGTAAAGTCTAAAGAATGCCCTAGTGCCAGATTGTTAACGCCAGATAGCATTAACTTACTGGTTGTAAATTTGTTGTCATTTACTAATCTGAGGTTGAATTTCTCAAAAGGGCACCTGGCTGATATAAACAAATCTGCAAATGAAATTTAAACGTTCACATTTAAGGTTTCTGGTTTTCGGATACCACTGCTAGTCCACAAACCCAACAGAGAATCACTTCCTTTCCTAACTATTTTCTTTCAGTTCACAATTTCATTTTCCAAACAAACAAACAAGTAGTGATGGAAAGATTTAAAAAGTCATACTTGGGCTAGGGATGTAGCTTGGTGGTAGAGCACTTTCCTACTATGTGTGATGCCCTAAATTTGAACCCCAGTATCACAAACAAACAAAAGTACACTTGTGCCTGGACATCTGAAAAGCAGGCTTCTGCCAAAGGAGAGTGCTAACAAACTCATCCCTTTTAATATACACAGAAATCACATTTCTATTAATAGCTAGAAGGGACAGGAATGTGTAAGCATTTTTGAGAAACCCTAATATCACTTAAATGACAGTCGTGATACTGAAATCCCTCGACAAATTCAAGTGTAAAAAGAACAATAATCCCAATGCCGGGCCAATAAAAAAAAAAAAAAAGTGTGGTTTGATTAGGGATTTCAGGGACCATTAATTTTAGAAGCTGTGACATTACTCTCCCAGTCTGTCATCACAGGAAGCCCTTTGGGCTTTGAGAATTCCTACTTGTTTAGTATCTTTCTACACAAAATCAAGATATCAAAAGGCTGAAATGGGGGTTGGGGATGTGGCTCAAGCGGTAGCGCGCTCGCCTGGCATGCGTGCGGCCCGGGTTTGATTCTCAGCACCACATACAAACAAAGATGTTGTGTCCGCTGAAAAAAAATATTAAAAAAATCTGCTGCTTTAAAAAAAAAAAAAAGCTGAAATGAATGCAAAAAAGCGACCAGGTTTTAGGGAAACCAAATGAGATGCAAATGAAAGAATCCAGCAAGAGGGTTCACCTGTTCCCAGGGCGCAACAGCCATCGGACCCAAACCGGGCCAAAATGGGATTGAAAATAAGTGGTTCCACTGCTTTGGCCTTGGGGCGAGGGCCTGCCGTCCTTATTTCTGAGGTACACGGAAAGGAAAGAGGAAGGGGAAAGCGTCTGACAGCCTCCCAAGGTCTCCTGGCAAAGAGCGATAGTGGAACCTGCCACTTCACTCTGCGACAGCGACGCTGTCCCGTCCTGACACTAAGCTCTCCAAGCGGGATACCCCTCCGGCGTCCCTCCCGACTGCTTTCCTGCTGCCCTCAGGATGCTCACTTAAGGAAGCCGACGTGCTCTTCTCCGTCTACTAGCACTCGGGCCGCAGAGATCCAGTCCTGAGGCTTCACCCCTGGAACAACCGCACGCCCCTCAATCTTGAAACGATCGCCTAGGCCGACCCCGCTCCCTCCAGACCCCTCGGCCGCCGCCCCGGGCACCTCCAAGCTCTGGGCATCCCCTGAGAGCAACAGCAGCAGGATGGAAAAGAAGCCGCACGGAGCGACCGCCATGACAGCAGCTCTCTGCAGTCAGGACGACAGCCCGGAAGCCTTCCCCGCCCCCCAGCCCCCGTCGCCGCGGCCACCGGCCCGATGTCGTCATCACTGCGCGCCGGACCCGGGACCGGCTGAGGGGCTCAAGCCGAGGAAGGACAGCTGATCGACCAGCGAGGCCGAAGGGCTGACCCAGGCTCAGTCGGYTCCGGGCTGGGGGCCGGTGTGCAGGGGGTGTGTCAGGTGCCCTTAGAGGGGGCCGCCCACCGAGGCAAAGGTGGTGAATTCTGTGTTGCTCTGGCTGCCACAGAAGCTTCTCGGGAGTAAAGGAGGATGAGATCAAGAGGGGTAGCGATCTAAATTAAGACTCCAGTGTCAGGCAAAACAGTTCCAAAGAGAGCGTTTAAAAAAAAAAAAATCAAGAACTCCCCAAGATGTATGACATGAAAAGGTGCTCGTTTGTTGGTGTGTGATGGAAGAAGATACCATTTCCGCTTAGAAAGTAGCTGGAAAAAGACAAAGTGTTAACCAAGGGTTGTCTCTGGAGAAAAGCAACTGGCATTACCACACTGCTGTCATTCCAAACTCAGAATCTACTAAAGTAGAAGGATTTTATTTGGAGTCTTAGGAATTGTAGTTTGGGAAGTACGGGTTTAGATAACTCCGAATCACTGTTCCGAAGAAGGCTCTGGGAGCTTAAACTGGCAAGAGTATACAAAGCAGTGAAGATTCCTTTGTAGGGAACTTCTATTGATATTGACAAAAACAATAACAACAACAACAACAAAAACCCACAGGTGTGGTATGACAGGAGCTAGCCAGCAGAAAATAATATGTGTAATTTACATTAGAAATGTCCATAAAACCAGAGTCATCTGGTTTCTCCAYGGGCATCTTAAGTTTCTGGACACAATACAATTATCTGTTCTAGTTGCCTGCAATCAAAGGGTGAAGATGACCACAGTTCACAGTCATAGGCAGCAGTTTGAATCCTTCCTAAATCCTGCTTCCTGATGGCCTCCTAGCTCCATTTTGAAAAGCTCTTTCAATGTGGTTTTCATCATAATTTTTCCTTTTCTTTTCACAGCAATCATCCTATTGTGAATGATTTACTGAGCCTAACAAAGTTCAGAACATGGCAGAGGGTGTGGTGGAGGAAAGCAGCTCAGTTCATGGTACCAGGGAAGCAGGATTGGGGGAAGGGTCCAGGGAGAAGACACACCTTGCCAGGGCATGCCCTCAGTGACCTATCTGCTCCAAGTAGGTCCTACCTCTCAGTCATCCATCCAGACATCAATGGATCAATCCACTGATGAGGTCAGAGTCCTGATGATCTAATTACTTCCCAAAGCCTCACCTCTGAACATATGAGACTTTGGAGGACATTCCAGAACCAGACAATAACAAGGACTAACCATGTGCACTATAATTATTACCAGTAAAATAACATTAGAATTGCTAGATCAAAAAGTTATTGCTGTGGCAGGTGGATTGTGAGTTCAAAGCTAGCCTCAGCAAAAGCGAAGCACTAAGCGACTCAATGAGACCCTGTCTCTAAATAATAATAATAATAATAATACAAAATAGGCTGAAGATGTGGTTTAGTGGTTGAGTGCCCCTGAGTTCAATCTCCAGTACCCCCCACCAAAAAAGTTATTACTTTGGCCAGTCACAGTGGCACCCATCTGTAATCCCTGTGGCTCAGGAGGATCACGAGTTCAAAGCCAGCCTCAACAATTTATTGAAGCCTTAGGCAACTTCTCAACCCTGTCTCAAAATAAAACATACAAAGGGCTGGGAATGTGGTTAAATGTCCCCTGAGTTCATTYGCTGTGGCAATGGGCAAAAGGTGTGACTTATGCAATTGAGGAGGAACAATAAAAAAWGTCCACAAGCTTCTGCCCTTTTCAWTGCTTTATTCACTCAAATCACTCAATATAATTTCACTCTATAGGTTCTTAATCAAGAAAACGACAATCCTTAATGCTAGGCATTGCAATAGACATAACCAATTCACARCAAACAATTCTATATTAATTAATTCACAGAAAATAATTCTAGATTAACTAATTTTAAGCACTGCAAACACACTTAATCATGACAAGCTAATGACAGACATTCCCTCTGCATGCTAAGTTCAAGTGTCAGATCAAAAGTCTCAAAGCCTTAGGCTTTAAGTCCAGTAGATGCACACTCACTCAGAGTGGTGATAAGGTTGGAACCAAGGCAAGCTTCTCCAGGAGTAGAGCTGACATCTGCTGAGGAGGCGGTCCTAGGGAGAAGTTGCAGCTCTCACCAGGGTCTAGATGTGGCTGTAGAGTTTGAGAGCAGTGAGGAAGATGCAGATGATCAGCAAAGGATGACAAGTGATGGGATGTCAGTCTAGGTCCTCATCAGGCTCTCCAGCCTGTGTGTATCAGTATCGGCTGGCTGAATATCTGTTCATTTGCTCTATTATTTATACTAAATTTGGGGGCTTTTGACCCCCCTTTCAATCCTTATCAGCTACCACCAGATTTCTCAGTGACATCATTTACCCTGGGGTTAAAACATCTTGTCTGTCGGTCCCCACCCTGATCTTTTCGCCTTTCTCTCTTATCAGGCAAAGAACAGCCTGTCAGAGGCTTCACTCTGAGTTTATCAGGGTAGGGGGAAGTGACTTGTGTCTGAGGGCTATATTAAAGGACTCCGTTAGGTGTGCCTGGTGAGACTGAAGGTTTCATACTGGAGTTTTTAAAATGGAGTTGCTTAGGCTCAGGCCTAAGGCCATCCTCACAATCCCCTGTGCCAAAAAAAAAAAAAAAAAAAAAATGTTTGTGTCTTGTAATTTGACTACATATTGTCAGATCTGCTTCCAAGAAATTGTTCCAATTCTCATTCTCATCAGCAATATATAGGATGTCTTGTTCTTCCACATTCTCATGAAAAACAGTGTGCAATAGAATGTTATCTTTGCCAAGTGGATGGGTTAAAAATGATATCTCAGCTGTGTACAGTATCACATGCCTATTATTCCAGCGGGAGAATCACAAGGAGAATCACAGACTCAGTTACTTAACAAGATCCTCTGCATTTAGCAAGAACTTGTCTTGAAAAATAAAAAGGGCTAAGGATGTAGCTCAGTGATAAAAGTTCCTCTGGGTTTAACCTCCAGTACTTAAAAAAAAAAAAAAAAAAAAAAAGATCCTGCTGGGGTCCTAGCTCAGTGGTAGAGTACTTGCCCAGCTTGTGTGAGGCACTGGGTTAGATTCTCAGCACCACATATAAATAAATAAATATAAAGGTCCACTGACAACTAAAAAAAATTTTAAAAGATCCATTTTAATATATATTTTTCTTATTATAAATGAGGCGGAATGTTATATCAAGTATGCAGGAGCTGTTTTAGTTACTTTTCTAGGACTCACTTGTTTTGTTGTTGTTCATTATGTATTGGATTTTTTTTCCTTATTGGTTGTGTTAAAGTTTGGATCTGAAATTTCTCCCAATGGATCACGTGTTCAAGACTTGGTCCCCAGTGAAGCAATGGTCAGAACTGGGGTCTTTGGAAGGTGTTTGGATTGTGAGGGCTTTAAATGCATCAAGGAATTAATTCATTGATGGATTCATAATTGAACAGGCTATTGAGAGTTTGTGGAAACTTCAGGAAGTGAGGCCTAATTGGAGGTAGGTCACTGAAGGCATCATAACTTTAAAGGTATATCTTGCCCCCACCTCCACCCTCCCTCTCAATCTCTTTATTTTCTCCTGCCTACCATGAGGTGCACAGCTTTGTCCACTACCCTTGACTCCGTGATGTTCTGCCATATCACATGCCCAGAAACAATATAGCCAAGTGACTACGAACTGAAACTTCTGAAACTGGGTCACAAAAAATCTTTCCTCCTTTAAGTGTTTTTCTCAATGGTTTTGTTTGTTTATTTGTTTTTTTTTTCTTTTTTGTTTTGTCACAGCAACAGAAAGCTGATTAACACAATTTCACAGTTTGGAGGAACTCTTGAACATTAGGGAAATGATGTCTTTGTAATACAGGTTGTAAATATGTTTTTCCTTGTTCTTTGCATTTTGAATTCTGCTCTACTTTTCCATCCCCCATTTTCTAATAAAGGCATAAAATTATTAAAAATAAATATAAGCTGGGAAAAAGAGGGCTGTCTTCATTGGCATGGCCCAGAATGAAAAGTGAGCAGTTGAAGGTACATTTTTTTTTATATGAGACAGGCTTTAAATACCCCTTGAGATAATGCATCTATTATGGACTGAATTGTGCTCCTCCAAAATTCATAYGTTAAAGCCCTAATCTTCCCCCACTCTGTTTGGATATGAGGTCTTTTTTTTTTTGCATAAATCAGTAAATATATTTATTTAATTCTTACATACTTATAAAAACATCAACAAATACTCTAACCATTTATATTAAAACCTGCATAAAATCAATAGCATTCAAGTAAGGAAAGCCAAAAGGCCAAAGAAAGAATGGTCTAAAGTAGAAAGTGTGGTGAAAATTGATGAAACCCTCCTGTATAAATCTAAAGTGTGAAATTTGAAGATATCTTTATAATTTGTGACATGAGATTCAGCAATGAAGGCCAATGTTATCAGGATATGATATAATTGATATGAGGTCTTTCTTAAATTTATTTATTCTTAAATTTGTTTTATCTTATTTTTTATTTATATATGACAGTGGAATGCATTATAATTCTTATTACACAGAGGCTATAGAGCACAATTTTTCATATCTCCCGTTGTATACAAAGTATATTCACACCAATTCATGTCTTCATACATGTATTTTGGATAATAATGATCATCACATTCCACCATCACTTCTAACCCCATGCCCTCACCCTTCCCCTCCAACCTCCCTGCCCTATCTAGAGTTTGTCTATTCCTCCCATGCTCCCTCTCCCTATCCCACTATGAATCAACCTCCTTATATCAAAGAAAACATTCGGCATTTGGTTTTTTGGGATTGGCTAATTTCACTTAGCATTATCTTCTTTAACTTCATCCATTTACCTGCAAATGCCATGATTTTATTCTCTTTTATTGCTTAGTAATATTCCATTGTATATATATGCCACATTTCTTTTATCCATTCATCTAT